AGGCTGAACCCGACATCCAATCAGAGCTCTGTGTGGGCAGGCGATGCTCCGTAGATACTGAGGAGTGTTACGCAAGCCTGTGTGTGTGTGTGGGAGGAGAGAGGGTTTGATGCCTTCACCTAAGGACACTGTTGCCTAGCAACGCACACACAGCCACACACACACCTGTGTGAAAGCACTCAGAGAGGGATGATGAGCTTCTCCTCTCCCACACAAACCAGCAGTGGGATTGTATTTGTTATTATATATATTTGTTACACAATGTAAAGTTTCTGAGCACTCTGCCAGATTGTACTGCGGTGAAAATACTGCAGTACAAGTACACGTTTCAAATTCAATGTTTGCTGCGAGATATGAGACGATCAGCCTTGTGCGACAGTGATTGTGGTACCTGGTTAGATAATCGGATTCTTTCTTTCTTTCAGTGCGGCTACATGACAGTATTTCAGAGGAGCTTCATCATTACCTCATCTTTGACCTGTGAGTGCTTTTCTCTGTTATGTTCTGAACTTCTAAATGATACATGTGTGATGCCACATCCTGTTTCATTACTTGCTGTCCTGCTCCTCGTCTCTCAGGGTAACGGGCGGAGAGCTGTTTGAAGATATTGTAGCCAGAGAATATTACAGTGAAGCTGACGCCAGGTAAAAAATACACATCGATAAATGTGCCTCTAACTGAGATAGGATTCACACAGAACCTCTGACCTCTGGCATCTGTCTATCTGTGAACAGTCACTGTATCCAGCAGATTTTGGAGGCGGTGCTACATTGTCACCAAATGGGCGTTGTCCACAGAGACCTGAAGGTACCACTCTTACTAGGGATAGCATGTTAGCGTCTCTCATGTATATCATTGACCAGAGTAAGCATGTTAACATATCCATTGTGTCTCCAGCCCGAGAACCTGTTGCTGGCATCAAAGTCTAAAGGAGCGGCTGTGAAACTGGCCGACTTCGGCCTCGCCATCGAGGTGGAGGGAGACCAGCAGGCCTGGTTCGGTAAGAACCCAAAGATAGAAGATAAAAAATCACAAACAAACTACACATTTTGTTCCAGGACCATCTCCCCAGAACCGGAAAAACCCAACAAACCTTGAGCTAGGAATAATCCTGAGAGACAGCAACTGAAAAGGGGCCAGCCCTGACTATATACCTGAGCCAGCCTTAACTATAAACCTGAACCAGACATAACTATTAAACCTGAGCCAGCCCTGACTATATACCTGAGCCAGCCCTAAACTATAAATCCTGAGCCAGACATAACAAATAAACTGGAGGCTGGCTTAACAATATACCTGAGCAGGCCTAACTATAAAC